GTGGCTGACCTAATTTAGGTATCTTTTTAATAAATTCTTGAAAATGTTAAAAAAGAGAGACAGAAAGGGGGCCCGGCGAGGATGTTTGCCCCGGGGCCCGTGCTGGCTCTCGACGTTTCTGCAGGGATGGTTACAGAATCATTTTATTTCTACAAGAAAGTTAGCCAAAAGCTAGAAGATATTATTTTAACACAAAATTAGTTTTAACTCAATCAACGACAGAAGTGATTCATGAGTAATTTCTATAAGAAACTTGATTTAAAGTGAACAGTTTCAAAATTACAGATGATACAACTCTGTAACTAACAAACTGTTGCTTAGGTCAGTTTATTTGTTTATAACTGAGTTAGAGAAGACTTTAAAATACTTTAACACCAGAACTTTCAAACTGTACATGAGGATTCCCATATGCAATGTTTCATTTAATGTACGTAATTTTATAATATGCAATAAATGGTTTGCAAATAGCATTAATTCTTCTGTCTATAGAGAAAGTTTGATTTAATTGGGTGTTGCACAAAGGGTTGAAAACCACCGATTTGAGATATTTTAGTCAAGCTTTCAATTAGTGTTTTATGTTTTAATAAAAAAAGCATCATTGAATGGCCCGGCATGGCCAGGTGGTTAGGGCGCTCGACTTACAATCCGAGGGTCGCGGGTTCGAAACCCCGTCACACCAAACCTGCTCGCCCTTTCAGCCGTAGGGGCGTTATGTGATGGTCAATCCCACTATTCGTTGGTAAAAGAGTAGCCCAAGAGTTGGCGGTGGGTGGTGTTGATTAGCTGCCTTCTCTCTAGTCTTTCACTTTTAAATTAGGGATGGGTAGCATGGTTAATTTTGAGTAGCTTTCAACAAAATTCCAACAAGCAAATAAATTGGGTGTCTTAAATTTGCTAAAGGCTAAAATCATGTAAGCCAGTCGCAGACCATACTTCTTAAAGAATGAGCTACAATCAAGTATCTTGTGAAGTCATTGTAATGCTAAGTGCCTTCTTCTTACACTGCTAAATTAGGGACGGCTAGCGCAGATAGCCCTCGTGTATCTTTGCGCGAAATTCAAAAACAAGCATCATTAAATTGCATTTTTAGAAGTATTTGAAATAATAATTTGTCAGATTAACATTTTTGGTCATTGTAATTCATGTTCTAAATTACTTTTCACACTAAAATTAATTTAAATTAAAGGCACAAACATTTGTTAAATATCCTGTTTCTATATTAATATATTTTAAGATTCAGCAGAAAGGATATAGCTAATTTTTTTAAATCTTTTGAATTTGTTAAAAATGCTAAAAAATTACTGATGCCCTTTTTGGTTAATCCCTATAGAAGAAGGAATAACTTGATGTCTCGGAAGATGATGACTGGTTGACAGATTAGACATAATTCGTAACTGATAATTATGTAGCCTCACTTTTATTTTTCACTTTTGAAGTTTGTTACAAAATCTTTCATGGTTACTTATCTGAACAACAGATGGCCGCATGTTTGTTTGTTGTTAAGCACAAAGCTACACAACAGACTATTTGTTCTCAACCCATCACGGGTATCGAAACCCGATTTTTTAGCGTCATATGTCAAGAGATGTATCGCTGAGCCAGTGGAATGCGGCTGCATGTTTGACACTTTTTTCAAATAAATTTGCAATATTCTCATAAAAATGTAGCTTTAACAAATTAATTTCACTTAAAATTTGGCATTTTTGATATTAACTCAAAAACGAAAGTAAGCTACAAAGTTCTTTATGGAAACTTTTCAAACGTTTTGTTGTTCTTTTTTTTTATTTTATCCGTATTTAGGCAGTCTGATCATTCTGGTATAATGTGCATATAATTTTTAAAAAATTCAGAATCTTGAATTGGTTTTAGACGAAGTTAAACTTATATAAAGAATGGCTTATATTTGGAAAAAAAATTATATTATCTTGCAATTTTCAGAAATCTGGTCTACTTATGTACATTTTGTGCTAGTGTTTGTTTATTTAACCTCTGTTTGGCGATATGCATTTGAAACATACTTAGCTTTTTTTTAATGTTTATATAATATCAATGAAATTAAATGTGGGCTAATTAAAACTATATTTTATTAATTTTTCCGTTTTTCACTGAGAGGTCACTCTTCCTATCATACAGTACCATGCAAAATGCAATTGTTAGATTAGTTATTGGCTCTAATGACTTCAATTTGATTAGTATATTTCGTGTAATTATGAGAAAATGTCTTTACATTAGTACATCTTTATTTTAAGTTAATATTGCATTTTAACTATATTGCTAAGTGCCCCCTTTCCCCGCGATGGCTCAGCGGTAAGTCTCACAGCTTACAACGCTAACACTAAAATTCGGGTTTCCATACCTGCGGTAGGCAGAGCACAGATAGCCCATTGTGTAGCTTTGTACTTATGTCAATCAAAGAAAGTATTCGGGGTTTAGGCCCCCTCTCCCTGGTAGACACAGCGCAGGTAGTTCATTATGTATATTTTCGGTAAACAAAAGACATTATCCTTTATTTATTTCTTTTTCTCATATACAACATGTAAGCTAAGCATCGACACTCAAAATTGGCTACTGAAGAAAAACTACTGAGTTCACAGTTTGTTGGCCTAACGAGTATTAGTTTACAAGATTCAATTTTAGAAAGTTTTAGCCTACTTTTTTGTTAAAGTTAATTTATTTGTATTTTGTTACACCATGCTTATAAGATTACTGGCGTTTCTCAAGTTTTGTCTTCACGAAATAGCAAACTGTTAAGAGCATTTAACAGATTAGTGTTATCAGTACTGAACACTAGTTAAAACCACAACTGATATATATCTTTCTCTCAAGAATATAATCGCAGCATTAGTTTGTGATGTTACCTGATATTGTGTTCGTATTCGATATGTTTGTCATGCAGAACTGCTATTACTATGTTGACACACACTCGTGCACCTAAGGCTCTTGAACATACTTCTGGATATCATTTTATGATTTCACCATAGATCTGCAGCTCATCTGATGCACAGGTCGTACTACAGATAACATCTACAGGAAATATAAACTTAAAATGCTGATAATCAAACTGAAATTTCCTATCACTGCTCTCACATGTTTTGTAATGGTGCTGATAGTGATGTAAATTTATGCTTTATCATTCACCGCTAGCTAAACACCATCCACAAAAGAAAATTCAGTAGTTATTTGCTGGAATTGTAGTTTACATTATATTGACTAATACCCCATGAAAGCAAGCTGTTTTAGCAGAATATATATAAACTAACATTACTTTTGTAATTATGTAATTTTATCAGACCATACTCGGTTTTGTAAATGTGCAAACCACTACATCTAAAGAACCAGACAAGATTGTTGTTTTCACCCAGATCAATGGCCTGAGATAGTTCTTAGTGGATTTTATAAAATTCACTATCTGTCTTTTCTTCAGTACTTTTGTTTATAATTCAGGCTATTCTACGAGCATTTAGCCTCCCGTGCAGGCACAAGAAAAGGCCACATATACAAGAAGTGGCTCAACTGTCCGCATCTATAGCACCTGTTACTTCTATCATTCCGTGGGTCAGGGTACCTCTCCACCAACAACACTGGCGCAGCAGACTCATGGTACCTTTGATTGATGGCCACTTGGGTAAAGTCAAATTAGTGTACAGATTTGCTGACATGCTACCATCTAACAAGGGACTCATAGGTGGTGAGTGAGCCTTTTGTTTGGGTTGGCTATTCTGTCATGTGTGGAAGTTTCACAATTTGAAAGAATCAATTCAAACCCCTAAATTAATAAACTCTCTTCAATGACTCACATACACCCTTATTCGATTTCTGTGTGTCTCTCTCTACAAATATACTGTATAATATTTTTGAGTTAAAGAGAATAATGCCTCATGAAGGACGGTTTATTTAGGAAGGCTAAGTCACCCCAAGCCTCTTATATGTGATGCCTTTGAGGGGACTGGCTCATTAGGGTATTGTGATTTGGGCAGAATCACTGTAACTATTTTTGCAGGTATTTTTCGTTTTGGAAACTTAGTTGAAGTTACAATTTCATACAATGTTCTCACTCAAATAGTTAATAGTTATGATACCTATATTATCCAATTTATTTCATATAGACTCAGTAGGGAGTCTCTCCACAAACTTATCATCCAAGGTATCTTCTTGATCAGCTGACACCATGTTGGGATACTGCTATACAAGCATCACAGTCCGTCAATATACACAGTTAAACTTACATGGGCACCATGTTTGCGAGCCTTTCATTCTATCTGATAGATGGCTTGAAGGATTTGCTGATGCAACTCTATTGCTATGGCTTCCAAGCCGTAGATTTTGTGAGACTCCAAGTATTCCATACCATTTAATACTCAACCATCCAGACTTAGCAAAAGAAGTTGAATCATTTGGCTGGGAATTTCAGATGGCTACTTCACAAAAAACCACTTATAGAAGTGATCCAAATCCTTCTTTGCTCAACCTTTTAAAATCTAAAGATGTGATGCATTTCACGTCAATATTTCCTTCTGGTTGCAGCTGAAGCAATCTACCATCATTCCACTGATATGACTGCAAAGCTAGTGTCAGCACAGGTGTTGAATTCCTTCTAGTGGCTGGAAACCCAACATTTTGCTGCATGTCAAATTTCTGGACCTGGTCTGTTGAGTGATGCATTGCCGTAGCAATGGTATCTTCTCCCAGGTCCACTTAAACACGAAGTATGCTGAAGTAAAGCATCAACACTCCTCCCTTCATAGTGAAAGGGCTCCTGGCTTACCCAAGATATGTTACGTGCTAGCCATGATAGGCAAATAATGTTCTTGCCTCAATTGTTGCATTGCCTCTGAAAGATGGGTAGCAGCAGGCTTGCGAGTCTGGTATGCTCACCACATCTCATCTCTAGCCACCTCTGAAGGGATTATTGAGAGGGGGCCATCAATTATGCTGGATGCCTATCTCAATTGTTCACTGTAGAGGTCACTGCAATTGATCACAGGGAAACCATAATTTGCTATGTCTTCTTTAATCGGGGCTCCTCTTACCTCATCCATAGGTTAATCTGACTCTTCTCCTCTCCACTAAAGTTCTTTTCAGAATGAAGAGACATTTTTTATTTATTTCTCCATAAGAATACAAGAGAGAACGAAGGTAAAAAATACTCGAATGAAATAAAACATAAATCAAATGTAATTTCTAAAATAATTAGATCCTGATCACTATCACCAAAATTTGTTTAACTGAGGTTATCTGTTGTAATTCAGTTATAATTGTACGCTGTTACCTGAATTCTACACCATCAAGTGATTCATTTTTCTAATTTTCACAAGGAATTGCAGAGTCTAGTGACAGATGAAAAAAAAAAGAGACAAGACACGATATTAAAGCCCAAAATAAAAATGAAACACTTTAGTTATTAAGATACAGAAGCAAATAAATAAAAATAATAATACGGAAAATAACGAAAGTAAAAATTAAGGAACGAATATGGATTATTGCAACTCGCGGCTAGATTTCAACAGCGAGTTTTGGTTCTTTTAAATTTAAAAAAAAAAAGACGAAATATTCTTCGGGAAGTTCAATCCAAATTTTCTTCTAACAGTGCCAAAACTGCTTATCACAAAGCACATTCTCCTTGTAGCTGACCTAATATAAAATGGCACCGGGATGCGGAAATGTGATAGCTACAAGGTATTCCTCCAAATACAAGGTCAATAGAAGTACAATGTTACTATCCTACATGAAGCTACAGAAAGGCCGGCTATTTGTGCATGGGTGTCATTGAAGTTGAGGACGAAGGTAGCTATTAAACAGCACCCACTGCAAACTCTTAGGCTACTCTTGTCTGACCAAATATTGATATTTGACCATCATTCTTATAGCGCAACCACGGTCTCTATTTGTTTGTTTGTTTTTGGAGCAAAGCCACGTTGAGCTATCTGCTGTGTATACCGCGGGGAATCGAACCCCGGGTTTGGTCGTTGTAAGTCCGTAGATTCATCGCTATCTTATCAGGGGACCCATGGCTTCTAAGCGACGTATTTTTGCGACAGTGGGACGAGAATAATGAGCCTTCGTATTTACAATCCAATTAGATACATCAACCATTAAACCATCTGAGGAGCAGAAAGGAAATACCTTGGAATTTCATTTCATTCAGGGCTGCTTTATAAAAGTGGTCTTTTCAATCAGATATGAACCAACAGTTAGTAGCGAGTGTTCCTAACAAGTTCATTCTGCGATTAGTGACAAATATGGACCCACCTCTATTAAAATGGACCTCCAGCAGCAAAACACTTTTCAAGGTGTATTGTCCCAATGTTGAAGGTAGTATATTGTCTACTTATCTCTCTGCATACTAAAACAAGACACATTTTTTTATTTTTAGATTAAAATATTTGGTGAAAATAAAGAAAATGTGAACAAGAAAGAAGGAAATGTTATAAAACCCCAAAATAAAAGAATAGGTGAAAATAAAATTATTTTTAAAGTTAAAGACTAAGCAAAATACTAGATCATCTGCTAAAAAAACCAAAATTACAAATTTAATGTTTCACTGACAGAGGAGATATTAAATATCAAGCCATTTGAATCTAGATTCACGTCAGAAAGGCATTAACAGTGGCGATCCAGTAAATGTCGGTTCATCAGTTGAAAGCGTTAGGACTCTATCGTTCTTTTTTAACATAAACAAACAGGAAAAGGTTCAGCAGTAAATATTCTTTGGTGTTTGGTATTATCAACCTGAATAGCAACTTATACGGCACATCGGCCAGTTCAAAGACATCTAAAGTTCGAGCGTAATCTTCCCTAATCTAGAACTGATGACCAGAGGGAGGGCAAACATTCAGCAGCACTCGTCACCTATAATACGGCTACTCTTAATCGAAAAGCAGGGTTGACTGTCACAGAACTAACTCCTTCACAGCTGGAAGTGTAACATTTTTAACGTCATATTGCAGCTCGAGCCTCGGACCTTCCGAAACACAGCACCTCATAAAAACCGCACTAAATATTCAGTCCAATAAATATACCAACGGACGAAAATATGTATCGCTAACAGTGGTGTGGGAAGGAGTTACAAAGTGGAGGTGCTTGGCTAGACATGCCTTCCCTAGAAAATTAATATAATAATATAATTTAAATGCTATATAAGTCAAATATGTAAAAGTGGGGCTGCTGCAGCACCCCCGATTGCGACGCCTTTAGCTAAATTAAAGAAAAGGTTATATACAAGTATTTACAGATCAGAAACAATGGAATTGGAGTTAGTTGGTAAGTTACCAGCATACTGTGAGAACGAACTCAAAACCATGAAACATTATACATACTTGTACAGACAACCTGCAAAGGTAACAGATGGAAGATTAATATATGGAGGAATTAGATCCTGATGGCGGCAACAGGGTACATTAGAATCTGTTTACAAAAGCAAATTTGTTCAAATGAAGAACTCGCTAACATGTTGATTTATATATACTTTTTATTGACGAATTTTCACATCAAATATACAAATAAATCCAATTACAAATAACCAATAAGACGATGTCACACGACTAGATAACAAGGTCTAGAAACGTTGGATAAACAATCCAATGAAATTACGTACATTAGAAAATAATTCTGTGAAAGTTTATAAAATGCCTTGTGTCACCAGATCTGTGCATAAGGCAACAGATGAGATAAAGCAACATGGTCATAGCAAAAAATAAACAAATAAATAATTTTCTATAGGTTCACTAATTTTCACACACACTTAAAAGTGTAAACAGATTCAAACAGAGTGTACAATCAAACTTAAGAAGCCATCTGCTTCTTTTCTTGGTAGGATTATTTACCTGATTCGTGTTTTAATGCTGGGTTTTCTGGTAAATTATCAAGTAAAATTCTCGAAATTCTTCGAATTGAAAGCTTGTTTAAGTAAAACTATCCATATAAGTGTATATTTTTCGTTTCGTTATGGAAATAACGTTAAATCACTGGAATGATGTCATAATTATTTATTATAATAATTATATATCAAATAGCAGATATTAAAAACAAATGACAAAAGTGATATATATTAAAGAAATTAAACTTTAAAAGGTTAAAAGGGATTTTGGTATTTTCAGTCTTAATGACACCTTGTGTGACATATGGGCTAAATGGCAAGGTCAGAGACCTCTAAGGTTCAGGCAAAGCTATCCATAACTTAGAACAGCTAACCAGATGGAGATCAACTAATAAACAGAGACCATTGCCTATCCGGCTAATTTTAATCGAATAGCAAGATTGTCTGTGACTTTTATAACGAAGGAAGCGGTCAACGCTGAACCTGACCCTCCCTGGTCCAAAACATGGACCGAATCCCGATGAAGAAGTTCGCCAGACTGTTATAACGCTTCCACCACCGAGTGTGTGGAGCATATTCAGCAACACATCAAGACTCGAACTTTGGACTTTCTTCTCTACAACCCGACATATCTGTCTCAGTTTAATAGGTATAAGGAACAAAATACAGCATGAACTGGACTAGCGAAAAAAATATGGATAACAAAACGGCGAAATAATTGATGCTGAAAATATAACGTTAAAAATCAATAATGTTTAACATAATAACTTTTAAAACGATATTTAAAGTTAATAATGTTTAACAGAATAACCTTTAAAACAATATTGAAAGATAACAATGCTTAATAGAATAACCTTTAAAACAATATTGAAAGATAACAATGCTTCACAGAATAACCTTTATAAATGTTGATTGTTAATAATGTTAAATAAAAACAGGATAAAGAAAAATACTAAATTCTTCACATTAGTATGGAATTACACTTTCGTATCAGCGTCAACTAATGTCGACCTTACTTCTCTCCTAAGCAACCACGATAGTTATGAAAGCAAATGAGAAATATATATTTCATTAGTTACATGACATTACATCATAGTGTAGATAAGGTAGTAAACCATGTCTTTAGAAGCAACCATATCCCACGGAAGAAAGTATTTAATTATAGAATATATATATATATATATATACATATGACGATCTACTCAAGAGCAACAAAACATGATAGATAAAGTCTGATGGACATGACACATGATAGTAACTTGACAAGCCTTTGGAAACATAAAACTGAACTATGGAATTGTAAATGCTAAACAAATAAATATCAAAGAGCAGCCTACCTAGATTTTCTGCCGTGGTTTTTTAAACCTTTCAATTTTTTCAGTATGCTTTTAGTCAATACCTGATATATGAAGAAAGCAAAAAGGGACAACTTGTTTATAGTTCTACAACTGCTATTCAATAGTTTCCAAATAATGTTTTTTCTACATATAGTTTTCATGGGAAATCGTAGTAAGAAGTGTATATGAAAGAAATGTTTTTACTTCTAAATGTTTCTGTAAATCAGCGCAATACGTTCTATAGTTTCCAATACACTTAGATACAGTGATTGTTTCCCTAAGATTCTGATGCTAAGTGTAACGTGAATGACTAAAAACATATCGAATTCTAAGATTCGTAAAGAAACATTTATTTATGCTAATCGCCATTATCCGTTACATAAAGTTTCACTGACAACAGAAGAAAAGTAACGATAAACATTTAGCTTTAACGGACTTTGTCACATATGATCTTTTTTCTTCTCTTTTTTTTTTTTTGAGAACTTCACGATACCGTAAACAGAAAAGTAATATAAAGATACAAAATATAGCATTCCTAAATATCAAAAACTGTTTGAAGAATAAATGTGTATTATGTGTTTATACCGCAATTCAAATATATAGCAATTCTGGAGCTTTAAAATCATAAATTTGTTATTAAAATCCAACTATTTGATATTTCTTAACAGACAATTCTGAAAATCGGGTACATGGATTCTTTAAAGTGGATCTTCGATTCCGGTAAAAATTTAAAGATGGTTCAGAACTTTTTATATAGAGCATGTTTTAAAGTTTAGTTTAGGATTTAGAAATTTTGATAGAGGGCAGGTTTTGAAAAGGATTCAGGAGCTTTGACAGAGGATGTGTTTTAAAGAGGATTTGGAAATTTTGATAAAGGGGCATATATCGAAGAGTATTCAGAAGTGTGATAGAGAACATATTTTTAAAACAATACAAAGAATTTGGTAGAGCAGATGTTTTAGAACAAATTTTGGAGCTTTGATGAAGACCAGTGAATTTTTGTTGCGAGTTGAAACTTTACCACAGGAGCTGCTTTAAAGGGGACTCTGGAAATGTGTTAACAAATATTTTAGACTTATCTTGTGATCATTATGGATATTTGGTACAGCAGGAACTAAACAGATTCTGAAGAACTGCAAAAAAGGAAATTCTTTATGGAGAGAATTCTAAAACATTTAGAATGAAAGATTGTTACAAAACTTGTGAAACATATATATATTTTGCAAGTTTGGGGGAGTAGATGTAAAGTTCACGTCACAGGACAATTTCCAAAGAAGAATACATTCTCTTTGACCATCATTCTATTATAATTACATTAAACACATTAATAATATTTATAGGCCAAATTAAACAGTATAACCATAAAGAAAAAACAAATAAAATATTACTAATATGCACATTTATTGAAATGAAAAACTCAAGTGTATAATCTCTTTGGGCATCTACGCTCAAATCATAACTTTAAGAATGAAATTACGACTTTTTTAGATCATAGCCTATCATCACTAGGCAGATAATGTCATTCACTATCGTTACTTTTACTGTACTGTTACAAAATGGCAATCTCATGAGTTTGGGGATGACGGAATTTTTTAACTTGGACTTTTTTTATGATGTTACGTCATAGCGTTTGCGCGTAGAAAACCAGTAACCTTTATTAGACAAACGACGCCATTACATCAGCCAGGACGAAAAGGTGAGACGGAAGGAAAATCCAAAATATGCAGAAACTCAGTCGATGAGTGGCCGGTCCAAGTTATCGGTCAAATCTATTGTAGTAGCTTCGTAAACACTGTCAGAAAACGGTCTGAAATCAGAAGTATTTCCTTGGAGATTTAAGGAAAACTTGTCCGGATCATCGCTAGAAAGAATAAAAATGCAACATGGCAAAATATAAGGAATCTGAGAAGGAAAAAAGCTTTTAAGCGAGCATACAAAAAAATTTTGAAAAAAAAATCGTTATGACACAAAAAATGTCTAGGGAAATTATTGCTACTGTGTTGTACTTCATATTTTTAAAAAGCCGAATTGAAATTCACCTTGCAATAGAAAAATGTTTCGTTAATTAAGGTAGTCACTACTATCTCTAGCTAAGATTGAATTTTTAGAACACTGAATTTATATTTAGCAAGAAATGTCTGGTTACAATTGAAAGTCATTCACTTGACCTAATGGGGTTAGTTTTTTTTTGCAGGTTAAAGATTCATGGATAATATATAATTCCCCATGGATGAGCCAATTTACAAGTAATATTTGACAGCAGTACGAATGAGTGCTGAAGTAATAGCTACTAGTCGGGTGGTAAAAACGAAGACAGAATATCGAACATTGATGATTATAGAAGAGGAATTACCTATATAACTTATGTAGAAGGCATATGTTTCAGCTGAAACTATAATCGAACAAATGTTGTATGTTGATCTCAATAGATCTGAAGAAACGTCTCTGGTAAGATTGTTTAACCGGTGCGAAATATTGATAGTTATAGAATATGTTAACTTCAACTTTATTATAAACTGCATGTAAATTGTAAGGAGATTGGCTACTGCTTTATACCCATTCTTAATAAAATTATATTTAGAGAACTCTAATGGTAAACTTTTCGTAATGAGGTCAACTGACGTACATCCATAATACAGAGTTGATATTACTATTTATTATCACGTGACTTCATTGTGCTAGTAATTTATTCTTTGTCTTCACAGAGTCATATCGTATTTAATCTTCACCTAATTTTAGCGAAATGCTATAGATTTGATTGGTTTAATATAATATATCCCATAGAAACTATGATCATTATTTTGAAATTCCTTTACAGGATGAACTTTTTCATTACATCTAAAATTTTGTTTTAATTGAATATTAACCTAGCGTTTTAATTTTTAGTAAGGCTTCGGAATTAAAGTAAAATAAGGCTTACGTTTTTTGTTGCTTCGTTTCGGCACGAGATCTTCCAAACTTCCTGACAAATCGCTGGTACGACTTGTGCACTCGACAGTGACAGAGCGTTACAACAATAACAGCAATCAGGCAGGCTCCGGCCAATGTGGAAGCGGCAATATAGATATTATGCACGTGCTCTAAAGAAACGCTAACATTGTCGATCATAGAGCTTTCTTGTGGTTTTTCCGTTTTTCCTTGAGTGTGTGCAAGTGGCTTAACTGGGTATAATAGCTCATCTGTACAAAAAGTGAGTATAAATTCGGTTATACATAACGTAATCTACTCACAAGAAAGGAAATCACTAACTTTTAAACCAGTGGCGTACATGTAACATGCCCCCCACAGCAAAATTTCAATTTAGCCCCCCCCCCCTTTTTAAAAGTAATATAACTTGCGTAAGAAACAAGAAGTGGGTGGTTATGTTCTCAAGAAATGATATTTTCTTAGCAACTGTAACACTGCCTTGGCATGGGCAGAAAAAAAAAAAAGAAATCGATGAGGGCGTTCGTTGTTTGCAGGCGAAACTCCTCGAAGTTACATATTGTTACGTCTCCGTTAGTTAGTTAATTTTCCGTAAATTCGTTCCGACGAAACTTTAGCGACACAAGTCCTTTATTAAACAAAACTGGTTTATTCTTTCCGAATGCAACTTTACGATACACTTAATTTCAACAGTCGCTCTATAACAAACGCTCACGTCTCACGTGGCCAACAATATTTTATCTGCATACATTCAATTACTCATTGCACTGTTGTCCCGTCACGTTGTAAACGTCTTATATATACAAGACTAACACATATCTAGTAAATGGTAGGGCATTCTTGAAGGAACAGGATATTTCTAGAAAGACGTGGTGTGATACTAGTCACGTGACCTCGATGTCGTAACAATATAA